TGATTTGCCTCTCGCATCATCTTGATTGTATCCACCGTAGTCATGGTCGATGTCAACTGTACTGTATATTTCGTATCTGCATTATCTACAAATATAGTGGCCATTACCTAAATAGTTATTAGTAAAGGTGTATCCATCATTATCATATAAGAGTACTACTTAATACATACTTTACGAACCACTGGATCTTGTTGCTTACTAGCTGCTACAGTAGCTGCTACATTGGCCGCCACACGTGCTTTGGCAGCCTTGACCGTCTGAATTGGCTTACCATCAGCACCCACCATATCTTTGGATACAACGGCGGCCAATGCTGTTTTATGATCCAAATTAGCAGCCAATTCATCAGATATTGCCGCTTCATCAGTAGATGTCCTTATTACTTCTTGTGATTTACGTGCAACACTCGTTGTTGTTGTTGTTGATGTCATTGTTACTGGTGCTCCTGCTGATGTTGATGCTGTTCCTGATATTGGTAAGGGCGGTGCCAATGCTGCATTATGTCCATTGCCATAGTTGTCACCACGACGGGATCTATCATTCGAGCGAGTACTAGAACGACGTGATGGTTTCCGTTCAACGCGTTTCTCCTCGCTATCAGTAGTGTATGTCGTGGCAGTCGGTTGATTGTTAGATGCGGTGCTACGCTCTTGACGTCGTGTATCCGATTCACGTTCAGTACTAGGACGTGATCCACGTACTCGCTGTGTATTACCATTGGTACTATTAACCATCGAGATTAGTGTAGCTTTTGTATTGCTATTATTACTATTGCCATTACTGGCAGTATTGCTCGTAGTAATAGCAGCAGTTGGTGTTGTTGTTGTCATGTTTAATAATGTTACCGGTGCTTCTGGCGCATTTGCACGTCGTTCAACCGATCTAGTACGCGGACCATCTTCCTCGGAATCCAACATTTTACGATGACGATCATAATGTTTACTACGTTCATTGTGTCGTCGCACTTCTTCAGCTTGTCGACGTTCCTTTTCACGCTTACTGCGCCGTTCGGTATTATCAATTAATCGACGTGGTTCGGCAGCTGCACGACGTTCCTCGCGATCACGCGTCACTCGTCGTAGATGAGTCGATGGTTTGCCTACTGCAACAGCGCCTGTTGGACTAGTAAGTCGATTTAATCCATTACTACTAGCATGACGGCGTATTTCCGGATTACGATGACCTAATGCAACATCGTCATCTTCACTCGCCGATGCAATGGAAGATGGAGAGGATGGTCCTGACAACACACCACTTCCTACTCGTCGTACTGATTGCTGATGGTTAGACGATACCCTTAGCATTGCTGGACGTAACAAAGGTGATCCACCTCCTGATAATGGCATAAATGTCGGTGAATCCGGTGGTAAAGATGATGGTGGCGAGAATGTTGGGCGCTAATTTATTGTACATGTAAGTAAGAATGCTAATGATGACGATGATGATGATGTTGCTTACCAGATCTTGTCGTTTACCTGGATTACGACAACCTGCACTTGTAGCAGGCATTGTACTAGTGCTGCTCAAATTAATATCACGTACATTCTCCATGGAATGTTTACGTCGTGATGCAGTTGGATCATAGGATGCTTCACGTCGTGGTTTATGCGAAGCAGGCGGATTACGATTACTAGTATATTCATGCTGCTGACGACTATTAGTCATGGAGGTAATGGTACTACGATGCAATGCATGCGGTGATAGTGGGCTACTATTAGCAGGTACTGTTGTACTATTGTTGTTGTTGTTGTTATTTAAACTACTAATAAGCGGTAGATCGGCACTGTCCGTAGTAGATGCTGACGAGACCGTTTTTATTGCTAATGGAGCAGGTGGGACACGCGCGGGTTTCGTCGAGTATCGTCCGATTACTTCGTCATCTGAATCAGTCGCTGCCTTATTGTTCAAGGCATGACTACTATCCTTGTCGTCATCGTCGTCATCATCGTCGTCGTCAGCAGCATTATCATCGTCAGCGTCAGCATTGTCATCATCTGAACTGGAATCCGGTGGACGTAGTGGATATGAAAGTGAGCCACTGTTATTACCATTATAACTACTAGTACTCGTGGTTGGAACAGGTAACGGTGGTGATTGAATACCGTTTAGCCATGAAGTAATACTTGGATTAACCGGCGGACGTGCTGCCGCCGTCATTGCTCGTTGATGAGATGGAGATGACGATAAAGCACCGCTAGTATATCGACTATTTGTAGACAAGTGTGGATTCTGAATATTGGACCCGGAGTCGGTGTCTTCCTCTGATGTATCCTCACTTTCGCTACTACTGTTACCATTACTGCTACTACTAGTGGATGGGACAATTTCGGATAGTGGTAGTGCACGCGGTACTAATGATGGTGAGGTAACAGGTTCTGGTGACATTACCATAGAAGTTGCCGGTAGGATTGGTGATGTACTATTAGTGGCAGCTTGAGTGGTCGATCCTTGATTAGCGTTGTTCGTTGCACCATGAGCCAACACAGCTGGATTAGTATTGAGTTTGGCGAGTTTCATAGCGAATTTACTGCTTAGATTGGCTATTGGTTCTGAATTGTCGCTTGAATCATCAGCCAGATTATGCTTATTCTTCTTGCCACCACCACTATTATTATCATCACTTTGTTCGCTATCCACGTTGAAGGCGTTGGCTGATTCTAACAATCTATTTAGCTTGGCCGATGCCTTCGATGGTGATTCCGTTGATTTGCTATGCTTAGATAGCATTCTACTAGTGACGGTGGTCGACTCTGCCGCAGAAACACTTGAACTACGTGGCCTTACATGATTTTCGGTTTTTAACGTATTGCTCTGCGTTTCACCACCATTTACATGTCCAGTGCTATTGACACGCATTTCTGACGCAGTCATTCTAGGACGTGTGCGACCCTCGCTTTGTATTCTTTTCTCGGAGCGTATCGGCCGTGATGGCGGTGGTGGTGATTTACTGCGTAAGAACGCTGACCTAGGTTCATTACGCTTATGCTGCCTAGTTGCTCGATCGTCTTTACCTTTTATGGTACGTCGACGCACGTAATAATCCAAACTATTAGCGCTATCATTATCATCATTATCACTATCCGATGACGAGGACGATGATGATGATGATAATGTGTCGACAATGGATGCGCCTGGAATAGGTTCATTATCGCTATCGGCTTCTGGATCTGTCATGTAGTATACGTGTTCATGAACTTGAGTCACTTCCGGTTCAGCAATCGACACGATAAACGGTGTAGTGGCGCGCTTTAAACGACGCTTTGAATTTGTTGAAGCAACGGCGGACACGAGGGATGGCATAGGAGTAGATGCCGTGGCAGATGCTGCTGTAGCCGTGCGTCTATGACCCGCAGCTCTAGACACGACATTTTGAGCTATCCCGCCGTCACAGTATTCGGTCATGCCAGAATATTCGTGTGTATCCGCTAATTATGTAACAAACGATCAATTTCTAATTAAATCGATAGATGATGGTTGAGTAGTCGTGTCGAACAAGTTATTACAAATACGAAGCAATTGATTCATTATCAAATATTAGCAACAATGATAGCATATCAACTATGGCTCAATTAATATCTTACCGAATAGTTTAGTAATATGCCGACCGGCAAATATGATGATGGATATAGAAACACGAGTTACCAAGCACCCGTAGATAATATTTTGGCAAATACAACAACAAGACGTTCTACGTAGGATGGCAACGTATTTGCCACCGACACGTGCCTAGGATAACCGTGGTACCAGAGGCCTATATCAATAAAGAATGCATAGATATCGAGGAGCGTGCGGTGTGAGTGGAATTCACGACATTCGCTGAGTTATCGCCGATACAATAATTAGCATACATACCTTTTTACTCTAAGAAGTTGTTGTATACGATATACCAGCTAATAATTGCTGCTATTGTTGCTACTACTGTTGTTGCTGCTAGATGTAGATTGAGTGTATTAACGATGATGAAAAGCTATAGTTTGAAAAAAGACTATTTAGAATGAGCGGATATAGCAATTTTAAGTGGAAATAAAAAGAGCGGTCAAATACCGCAAAGTACGGAGGATATAACACAGACTAGAAATGAAAAAAAGGCGGACACGGGTTGCGTTAAGGAAGAAACGCGAGGTAGGTTATAGAGGGTAGCAAGAGTGAGGGAGTAAGTGAGGGAGTTAGGGAGAGAGTAAGCGAGAGAGTGAGAGGCTTGGGTAATCGCAAGGTGAAAGAGATAAAGGAGTCGGCGACAGTACAGCTGATATTGTATAGTATTTCGTCGGTACAAGTCCACCACCATAGGAAATACAGACCAGCGTGCTATTCTATCAAATAAAGCGTGTGTGCGTGTGCGTACGTGTGTGTGTGTATGCGTGTGTAATAACAAGAACGTTGCAGTTGTAGCGTGATCAATGAATAGTGTTTATAGTCTTATCGCACATGGACATTGGCGGGTGCATGGCATTAAAAAAGGCATATGAATAGACTGCACATGACGAGCTTTCGTGTATTACCGATAATATTCGTAACTTGCAAGTGGTAACAAGCTTTTATTATCCTATACATGTACTACCAATTACGATTATAAATGCAAGTATAGCAATTGCTAGTTACAGTTTGTAGTAGATATAGCGCATATTACGCCGCGTTTACGGTAAATTATATGGTGCATAACGTAATTATTAGCACTATAATTGGTAAATATTACTAAATAATGCGATTTATTTATTCACAACAGACTACATACATCATTAACAAGTAACATAACATTCTATTATGCTAACTCGTTCTATTCTACTATAAAAATACGCAAAATTACTAATTTTTTCAAATTTTGTCAAAAATTAACAAGCAGAACGCCATGTCCATAACCGAAAACATTTCAACTACGTTCATAGCGCCTAAAAAGCACCGGATCCCGTCCGATCTCCGAAGTTAAGCCAGGCCGCGCCCCCTTAGTACTGCGGTGGGAGACCACGCGGGAATCTCGGGTAATGTAGTTACAACAACCATCCGCATTCGTCTAGTGGTTAGGATATGGCGCTCTCACCGCCAGGGCCGGGGTTCAATTCCCCGATGCGGAATCTTTTTTGCTTTATTCTACAAACATTTTGACGCGCGCTGCATACGTCTACCACGTCTTTTTTGCACTACAACATCGGTAGATATCAACGCGGAGCACATTTACACTCGTGTATGCTAACTAGTATGGTTTATTTATTAATAGTTGTCAAGCTTTTACGTATCTAGATGACAGCCACGAAATACTGCAAATGTCGTGTTGTTACATGGTGATATTGCACTACGATGAATCGATGTTACCTAATGGAGACTATGCTGCGTACATGTCACTATTAACGATTGTATTGTTATGCCATGGTATTAGATGGCCGATAATGCGACAGTTAATGCGGTATTCTCTGGTATATTTGTTATATAACTTACAAGCAATATAAGCTATATGATTCCGAAATATGGAGACGTCAAGCAAGAGATGGCTTGCAAACAACGTGGCTAGTATTGTCACGCAACATGGTTCGTGCAACTATCGTTATTACTGTGCATATCGATAAGGCTAACATGAACATGATAAGTGCTATTACGAGAGAGATGAATACGCATCTATCTAAATTTATTAGTAGGACTACGGGTACAACTATATTGACCCAGCGCTGCAAAGTAATAAAGGCGGAATTCAACAATTAGTAATTCTATGGTGTTGTCAGTATCATGTTTAAACGCACTCCGTAAAACATATACGTTTGTGGCCATCAGCCTAATCTGCAGACAACTAGATTAGGAAATGTGCGGTGAAAGCGCATGCCATATTGTGATTCGATAGAGCGTTTTGAATGGTCTTTCAATTCGTGTGAGATCGCCTCTGCTATATACTGCATAAACCAGTTTGTCCCCAATGCTATCACCGAGCTATAATGCCGCATTGAGTGCGATCCAGCACAGTGTGACTGGTTAGCACTATTTCAATCTACCGGTTAAACGTACATTCGCTAAAAGGTACATGGTCTCTCGTTCGTTCTCTTTGTTTTATATTTAATATCTAAACTACATACCGCCTGCCTTCCCTTATCCTCCATTACTATTATTATTATTATTATTATTATCACCATGCCAGTTATTAATTACAATGATCCAAAAGAGACGGAATGGATAGAGACCGCTGTTAGAATAGCTGGTATTCCACTGCATCCATCGGGTGAAACAAGCATTGCCGATTATTTGATGGCAGCATCTGGAGATCAGCATGAGCAACGTAGACGGTTTACCGGCATACAAATCGAAACTGTGTTTGCTACACTTTCTATGTGTTTATTTGCTCGAAATCTTACTATGACAGCAAGGGCGCTTCTATTGAGACAGCGCACCTTGCCTTTGTACTGCTCCTTTACGGCTTCCTTCTTTAACATGATAATGGTGGTAATCTACCTACTCGTACCAGCTGCAGAGAAACTCAACTGTCGAATAGGTGTCTGGGGACTGGACGTTAGCATAAGTATTTCCATACTTTGCAACAACCTTATTTTACTTCACAAGGCATACCTAGTACTAATGCAACACAAATGGGTTCTATACATTGGGATTGCACTGACACTGCCACCTGTTGGTTATCCATTTTTGTCAATCGTCTACTTTTACATCACCGTGGAGCCACAGCTAGGATGCACAGTTCATTACCCATCATTCACGATGTGGTACTGGGTGGGCATTAACGTTCCATTTAACATTGTATTCTCTACTATATTCTGCTACGTAGCCTACAAGCAATATAAGCTATTTGGTTCCGAAATATGGAAGCGTCTAACGCGCGAGGGCATACAAACAATGTGTCTAGCGCTGTTGTGCAATATCATCTGTGTCATTGTCGTTCTTTCCCATATCGAGGGAGCTAACCAGGATATTCTATTTGCCGTGGACTGGTAAGGAGAACTCCTGTACACTTAATTGCAAATTTACTAATGTCATGATTAGGGCTGTAGTCACAACAATCCTGACTGATCATTGCTGCCGTAAACGAAGTAATACTACCGTGCAACGTCATACCAGAACAAGCTATATGCAGCATGTATCCCAAATTGACACTGTAAAATAATACGAATTGTCTTAATACAAAGTGGTTTATTTTAATACTAAAGAATAGAATACGTTTATTAAATTGATATATACACATACTAAGAAACGTGTTCGCAAATACTTAATTGATATTTAGTTCAGCAATCGGGGAGAATTCAGCTTCACCAAGTTGTCGTATTAACACATCCGGATTAAAGTAGCCATACGATGTCCAGGCACGTATCTCTGCCGTAGAATGAGGACCGTGTATATCTGTCGCATCGGCCGTCCATTTGAACTCCCATTGCCGTTGATCATCCTTGCTATCATCCGTAGTGCCAGTTACCATAAATTCGCTCTCTGCCATTTGTCCCATAGAAGTGGCGGTTGTTGCTGTTGCTGTTGTTGCAGGCTCCGGCATTACTACGCCCTGCTTTTCAAGATCACGTCGTATGTGATCAGCCGTCCAATCATACACGTCTAAATGGCCCAAGGACATTAGTCGATCGCATAGTCCGGTTAATAGCTCGATACTGTGTCGTTGCTCAATATTTGTCGCATTAACCGCATCCATTTCATTCGACTCTTCCGTCATCGCTGACTGTTGCTGCTTATACTTGCGACTATTGCCATACTTCTTACGCTTTATACCACCGCCTAGTCGTTTTAACGCTGCATTCACCGTCTCATCTTCCTGCAAGTAGTCAAGTAGGTCAAGTTGTGCGGCACGAGTTGCCCCGGCAACATCATCAATCTTGCGTTCTTCCTGAGCAAGACGCTGGCGCAATTCCTGCTCACGACGCCTATGCGCTTCATGCGCCTTATTAATATCTTCCTCGGATACGCCTTCAAGCCAGCTGTCATGGAATCGCTGCGGGTCTTGCGCATTCTGGATATAAGTGCCGCTTTCATCGAATTTTCCTTCCTCCAGTTCAGCGCGTAAATTGAACGCTTCAATCTTATATTCGCCTGCACTTGGATCGTAATAATCGTAAGACGTATAATCCTGGCCGTCCTCATTATCATCATCATCATCGCCAAGGATTCCATTTTTCGTTGACTTTCCCTTCTTTTGCTTGTTGTTTGTCGTCCTGCTGTTATTGGTATTTACCGGTTCATCCGCAAACATATCAACGTCATCGTCATTTGCCGCTGGCGGTTCCTGATCAGCCGGCGTTTCCTCTTCTATGTCACGCCGTGTCAGCTCGTCATCCTCGCTGGCCTGACCGCCGTCCTCACTGTCACTCGACGGATTGTCGTATCCTTCCACTCTTACTGCACCACGACGTGTTTTACGCTCTTCCAGCTGTGATTCATGATCAAATTCGTCATGATCGTCGTCATTAGGTGTATCCGCGTTTCCAAAGCGAACTTTTTTAGCGTCTGTTAGCGTGCCAGAGTCAGTATGTCGTTTCATATTGGTGTATACGCGAAAATACTATAAAGTAATGAAAATAAAACATAAAAATAATGGATAATGGATACTCAATTCATTCTTTTTATTCCTTGTCGTATAAAATTCATATAGAATGTAAATACTACTTGTTTGTATATGTCTCCACTATTTGCTACTAATAATCTACTGTTATTCCATTACATGTAGGGGTAAATACTGTCAATTAGTCATTGGACCTGCGGGCAGTGGCAAGGTAGGTGTGGTAGACGGTATGGAAATAGTTTACGCGATCAGTCTAACGCTTAGTAGTCCACCTATTGTAGGACTATGCTTCAACATAGTGAGACTATCAAACGTACTGTTCACTTGGTGAATCTGGATCCTGCAGCGGAAAAGTTCGAGTATACACCGGCTGTGGGTAGGTGGACTAACTCCAATGGATATCCACGTCATTATTGACGAGTATTCCGGTTAGATATTCGCGATTTAATCTCATTAGAGGATGTGATGGAGGAGTTGCATCTTGGACCTAATGGCGGTCTCATCTACTGCTTCGAGTATTTGCTAGAGAATCTAGACTGGCTTGATGATGCATTGGGTGATTTCGAGGATGACTACTTGATATTCGACTGTCCAGGTGATTGACTATAGGATGCATCCATATGGTGCATTACACTAATGTTGGTTCTATTAGGTCAAATTGAACTGTATACGCACTTCCCCTACATGCGTACGCTAACTGATCATCTAAAGCGACAAGGCTATGCCATCTGCGGTGTTTACGTACTCGAGAGTCAGTTTATGGTCGATAAGAGTAAATACTTTTCAGGCACGCTTAGTGCCATGTCAGCAATGATCCAGCTTGAGATTCCACACATTAATGTCATGTCTAAAATGGATTTGATGGCCGGTATGCCAGAACCAGAGCTGGATCGGTGAGTAACAAGAGTGTCCCGTTGTTGATGGCATGTTAATAACGCATACTGTCTAGGTATCTTAATGCAGATCCATCCTTGTTGCAAGAGGATAATAGTTATCGGGGCAGCACAAAGTTTACTCGGCTTAATGAAGCAATTGTACAATTGGTACGGGTGATCAATGATGCTATTGCTGCCTACTAATCAGCTATATGTGCACATATCCTAGGTGGAAGATTACAATATGGTAGGCTTTATTCCATTGAATATTCGTGAGGAAGACTCGATCGAGTATGTTTTATCGCATATTGATAATGCGATACAGTATGGCGAGGATCAAGAACCTAAAGAGCCCAAGGTAATCGACTAGCCACATCTCATAAGCCCATACTAATCACATCACAACATATCGTGTATTTTGCTGTAGGACATGGCCGATGATGCCGGTGATATCTAATGACATTGCTTATTTGTACCAAGAATAAACCTACATGCGTTTACCATTAGATGCAACCATAGAGCCATTACGTATTTGCTGCTGTATGTGCATTCTGTCTGAATGCCATCTTCCAACTGAATAATGTTTGTACACTAGCTGATTTACCACGAGATAGTTCAAATATTGTTTGTGGCGATGGTTGCGTAGATTGATTACTATTACTACTATTGCTATCATTATTGGTGTCATTGAGTAGGTCTAATC